AATACTAGTAAACACATCAAGAACTCCAACAGCTTAAGGAGTAAGGCCCAAAGTAAACAGGCTGAAAGTAAATCAGAAAGCTGGCTTCAAATATACTTTAGGGTGGCTGCCTAATAGAACACCTGGAATCAGTAAGATCCTTTATCTAAAAACTGTGGTTCATTTTATCCTTTCTTCTCTAGTTTGTTGTGATAGTCAGCATAATAAATTTCAAGCCTCTGACCTATGATGACTACACCTTCCCTCTGTGGGCAAACCGCATTGGCTGGGGAATAGCATTATCCTCAATGATCCTTGTGCCTGCCTACATCATCTATAAATTTATGAATGTGCGTGGGACCTTTAAGGAAGTAAGTGGAACACTAATCAAATGTCATGAAATGTTGCTGTGAAATGAAATGGCTGGGTCTAAGTTGGCAGTTTATTTCTCTCCCAAAACTTATTACTTATGAGTGACCTTTTGAATTCATCTGTCAGGTGGATCAGTGGTTTGAGGTAGGATTACTGCATTCTGTTCGAGTTTCTAGACAGAAATTAGCTTTCCAGACAGCACCATAATAATTGTGAAAAATTATTTTTTATGCATGTAATTGATCCAATTGGTGAGATTAGATTTTTGTTATTAACAAAGAATGTACAAATGATGGTATCTTCATATTCAGCTATGAGGTATGGTCTTCTAACTGTTCTGTACTTTTCTTTAATTATCAGTTCAAAATGGCACACGATTAAGGTTCACTAACCAGATCATTTTTACCATCTTATTAACTTTATCTTCACTGTCTATATACCCTCACTATTATCTCTAGTCTTAAAACTTCTAAGGTTTCTCAGAAGCCTCCTCACCATTATACAGCACCATTTTTTTTGCCATCACATCATAATTTTATAACCTTATTTAAACCCACTGACTTGCACTTAGTTCTACTGCTCTCCCACAGCTACACTTACACAATGGTGTAGCAAGATTTTGATGCTCTTAGGCAAATCACTGAACCAACAACACACACAGAACTAAGCAGAAAATAGGATCTCAACCTTTACATAGATTGATTACATCCTCCTCACACTGCCCAGCAAACCCAAAGGAACAAAGGTCTTGTTTCTGAAACATTACAGTGATCTCACATAATGTTAACCTCAGAAAGGCACCCCAGAGTTGGACCTCCTCAGCTGCCCTGCTTTCACCAGCTTCCACATCTCCATGTTGTGCACAGTTTCTAGATCTCATTTGCAGCAGTTGTGTAAGCCTTTTGTTTTGTTCCATCCTGGGTGGGTTACAAATACATTTTCTAGGAGCATTTAAGTATCAAAGAATAATTGGCCCATCAGGCTTTCGCCCTCTTGCTCAGTTTTACAAAAGGCAGAAGCCTTTGACCAAAACTACATTTTCTCATTCATCTGTATTTTTAGCAAATTCTGGGTTGTCTGTTACTGCTCCTGCAAAGAGCAACTCCCCAATTTCCCCACGAGCATCATGGCAAAAGGCTGATATATGACATCCAAGTAACTGGCTCAAGATATGATGCCCCAAATTGAGGCTCTTAAAAGGATGGGGAAAGGTATGAACCTAATCTAATGGAAACTCCTTAAGTTGGTTGAAAGTTCCTAATAAACCAAAACCTACATGTCATCTCAAAGGACACAGCACAGGGTAGATGAGGGAGATGAGCTGGGAAATACCAGAACCCCCTTCCTCTCCCACTCTGGGGCTGGCCAACCCTCTTACAGCACTAACAGAAAAACATGAATTTAGGGGATCTGAGGCCTGTGATATCAACTTGTTCCTGATGTTCTTTTCTATATGCACTTGTTAAATATTTGGACTTAGTATTTGCATAAACTTTCTACTGTTGTTTCTTATATTAAAGGCTAACACCCAAGGGCTTATAATAGGCTTATTCTCTCAGTGACTGAGTAAAGGCACATGATACAGTGATATTAAAGATTTAAGTTACCATTTTAAATAAAGTTCATGCTACTTCCCCACTATAGATTGGGGATTATATATATAATCCCACTTCATATGGCTGACTTTTTCCTCTTCTTCCTGTCTGGTTTAGAGGCTAGCTTACTGCATCACACCTGAAAATGAGCACCAACTCGTGGCCCAAGGAAATGTCAGGCAGTTTAAGGTTTGTACACCTTTCACCTGCTTCTTCTCCTGATACCAACCCTTTCCTGTCTTTAGCAATAACTACAGGTTTGCACCAAACTTGGTGAATGCCTCTGCAGGTCTGTAGTTCTTCATTTCTGCCAGCATGACAGACACAGGAGGCTCAGTGCCACACTCATCAACCCATTTGGAAGGCTTTTGGGACCTTCCTTCTCTGACTAAGAAGAGACAGATTTTCTCAATTTTCTCAGATTTACAGATCACCCGAATCTGGTATTTTAGGTTATGTTTGAATACAGTGATATCTCACCAAGAAACAAAGGTATTTCCAAACAATCTTGTGCATTTGAAGAGGTCATGGCCTCTCACTGAGTTACTGCACAGCAACCTCAAGTCCTGTCTCCAAAACCGCAATTATGTCCCACAACACATGACAAACAGTAAAAAAATATCCAGTGTCAGAGCTTACCTATAATGTCATGAAATGATGGACCAGGTTATGTGGAATTGGCTTTCCCCACAGGACTAGAGTGGATTGAAAACACCGCTGGAGACTTCATAAGCCATGAAAAATATGCTATAGGTTTCCAAATACTGCTTTCCTTTTAGCAAATAAAATGAGCTTATTGAAATAAACTCCTTTATGTAGAAGATAAAAAGGATGCAAATGTGAAGCTTGTTACACTTATCAGCATTCATTCTGGACCACTTTCTGTCTTCAAAGTTGAAAGCAACTAGAATTATGCACACCTCCACAAAACGTGACCCAGATTTTATAGTGGTGGTTTGTATGTTGATACTGAAAAAATAAATCTGGCTTTTGCTTATTCTGAAAGATATTGTTTGAAGTAAATTTTGGCTTTTAAAGGAAATAATCTGTGTAGATTTATGAGATGCAGAATGAAAGAACAAATAGGCTTCCTGTTTCATGACCACAATTTATTTGATGTGGCCAAGAATATGAAATAGCACAGCACCTCCTCCTGCCTTCTCTTTCTTCTGTTTCTGCCCTCAGTTGTCAGACAATTCACTGTTCCTGCTGTAACTCAGGGTTTCCAGGGGCAGATGTTCCTGTGTGAAAGAGCTAACAACAGCCATTCCACAGAGCTGGTCTTCTGAACACAAATCTATGACAAAAAGTTAGCAAATTAATTTCACATAAATTAGAAAACCTTGTCCTCAGAAGTAAACGACAAAGTGACCTCAAAACATGAGAGCATTTTAATTTGCTGCCATCTTCAATGAACAGCAAGGAATGGCTTTGTTAGTGCTAAAGCATATTTAGTGTTTTTGTTCACAATGTTTAAGATTGTAAACAAAACACTGCCTATTGTAACCAAACAAACACAAATATTTTATTCCCATATATGTCTGGAAGTTCTGAATTTTAAAACTGAATTGAGATCTGACTAAGTAGCCTTTACTTTCAGTGCATTTCTCACTGCAAACTGGACTACAGAAGCTTAGTTACTGAGTGGATAATCTAGCCATTTTTTTGAAATTTCTTTGTAACTCTAGATTTGTCAAAAAACGTATCTGTCAGCATCATCATTTGAATCAAAGATGTAATTTAACAACCACTTCTGTTTCCTTACAGCTCCAACACTGGCTAACAATATGACAACCAACAGATCAAGGAAAAAGCCCACGTTCAGCTAAACTGAGAATACAGAAAAGTCAAGTTCAAAGCTCCCTCACTTATGCTTGGACCAGGCTGGCCCAGAGCTTATCTACTGACTCTTTGAGGGAAAAATCTGCTCTCTGTTGTCAATGCCTCCCTTCTATTACTTGGCTTCAAATGATCTTTAAAGACTCCATTTAATTTTTCTTGCATCCTTTGGTGCCATGAGATCCCTACATGACCAAAACTTGTGAGTTTTGCTATAGCCAGAAGTGGAGGAGGGGGGAGCAGAGGAAAAGAGCAATCAGGATAAGTTAAGTGCTTTTTTTATTGTGAAGAAGTGAATTAAACTTTTCTGACAGTAATAACTTCTTCAGATATTCATGCCACAACCTATTTTAAACCAACACCACCTGAGCGCTCTTAGAGCTAAGGAAAGAGTACACCTCAGTTATGACAAAAGAGCAATTTTAACTACTCATGTCATTCATTAGCTTTCTTGCCATACTGTCCTTTGGGATGTGAGTTTGCATCCTTCTGAAATGAAGACTCAGTGCTTCATTTTCAGTGGTTTTTATTAGTTCCTTCACTTGGTGAAGAACATTGTCTTTGCTGTACACGTCTGTGCCATTTTCTCACCAGTTCCATTACACTGAAGCTGAAGAGCAGCAGGAACAAATTCCTGTTACAGTTACTAGTGCAGAACACAGCTTAATATCACAGTGTACTTCATGAAAGAGAAATCCCCCTTTATCAACAATTGAAATGGCTTTATCATATGATCCACACTCTGCAGACTTCTCCAGCTAGGCATAACAGTTACATCCAAATAGACAGACTCCCATCCTTTTCTTGAATTTTGTTCCAAATAAAGAATGTAAAATACATAAGAGGAGATAATTTTTAGAATTATAAAATTACCAAGTGGCACAAAAAAACCAAACTGACTTTATTCCCTTGCTGTGAACATGTTATTATTAAAATTTAACCAGGATTCATCTACCAAAACGTAGTAAGATTTTGCTGAATAATTTAAGTATATTTTAGGCAATGCCAGCTCTCTAAACGTATTCCAGCTCTGTTCTCTAGTAGTATTATGCAAAGTAGAAAATACAGAACAAACTCTGCATTTGGGTGCTCTTCTTATTCTGTGGTCACTTGTCACTGTAGGAGCTTTCAAGTGATCACTACATTCAGTAGCTTTGAGTTAGTTCTTGTAATTATTTGGCACTAGGTCTACAGTAATTTTCAGAGGCAGTAGCTTCTCAGCTGGATCCAACCCAGAGTTTACCTCTAGACATTACCTCTGATGTTTTTTTGTCTCTATACATTCAATTGAGCTTGTCTTTTAAATGTATGTAGTGCTTCCTCTTTTTTTAAAAAAAGACCTTTAAATGGATGGGCCTTTTTTATTTATAAAACAATTTTTGTTGAGTTGTTCTCTTTTTTTAAATAGCCAAGTTTTAAAGTGCCAAGTGCTTTTGAGCTTTTTCTATTTAACATTGATTTCTGTTCAAATAGTGAAAGGGAAATTTCTCTCCTTATTCTTTCTTTTCCTCCAACATATTCAATACTTCAGAACGAATCAAGTGTTGTCCTTCTCTTGAACAGTCTCTGTGACAAACAGTAGTTTTATTTAAACAGGGATTTAAACCCAAAGAATACTTTCTTCTAATTATAAAGGAAGTCTTATTTTCTGGCCCAGCTGATGGCCAACAGCTGCTTAAACCCTGTTATTAAATATATTTCAATAATAAAGGAATTCCAAATGTTGCAGTTCTAATGCTGTAATTACACAAGAGGCTAAATAGTGAAAATAAGTTGAAGGCTTCAAAAAAGTCATCCCACCAACTTCCCAGTTAATCGCATTTTTATTGTTTGCCAAACTACATGAGAATCTTTCCATTGTTTTAAAACCTGCTTTTCAACAATACAGCTGCTTCAGTCACTGTCTTGGCATGGCTCAAAAGCTTCTTAGCATAGATGTAATTACCAAGTTTTGAAAGTTCTAGGGGCTGTTTAACGTGGAGCTTTAATAGGTTGTCACTTTACACACTGCTTGGTTGGCTCATGAATGGAAATGCTAAAAACCTCCACCAACATTCACTCTTGACTCAGTCCATCAGCACCATCCCTGCAGCACAACCCACACAGGAAAAGTTACATTTCCTCACCACTCTGCTCTGACACAGGAGCAAAGCTACCAGACATGGGAGTGAAATCAGCTTTAGCCAGTGTGTTCGGGTTTGATTGCATTTTTAACACCGACTCCCAATTACCTACTGCATTATTTTTATTTCTGTTACTGTATAACTTCTTGGGTTTAGTGCAGTATTTATAGCTCAGGATTACATTGCACTATTGCCACCTTGTTCTGAGGTTTTCTAGGTGAAGAACTTGCAATCTATACAGAAGATGAAAGTCTTATCAAAGAAAGTAGAGATCTTAGTACCAGAATTAGCCTGAATGAAAAAGACAGTACACAGTGCATAGAGTTTAAATTCAAGATGTTGCCCAAAGAACATCTCCACCCAAATAATATGACTTCTGTCCTAGAGACAAATGTCTTCAATACTTCACAGAATAAGATGATGAACTACCTCATGCCTCTTGGATGATGAAAGATGCCATTAGACAAACTAGCATCTATACAAATGACAAATACTTCTGTGAAGGACAGGTTATGTTCATTTCCTCCATTCAGATGTGGTACAGACAGTCCAATAAGAAGCCATAGCATGGGCACCCAACTCCTCTTACACACCTGCTCTGGGTTCCCAAATACATTTTCAATATGGAAAATATCAAATGCCACAAAGATGCTCATCTCCCTTCAGTTAAAATACTTGTAGTTAAAAAACAAAAGACCAAAGCTTCCAGTCAGGTCTTTATCATCCATGTCACTTAACTGCAAGTCTTCCCCCAACTCTCCTGACTTTTAGCATAGCAGCTCATCCTTTCCCTCAGCTGCACCTCTTTTGAGAGCAGACCCTCTCTGGGAATGCCACTCTCCCAGATATCCCTGTGGAATTGCATATAAATGCTGACTGAGTAGGCAGGCCACTTTTTAAAGATGAAATTTTTTGATACAAGCTGCAGAATCATCTGCTTGCTAATTATGTTGGCTGTTTGGGTAACAAGCCCGTGGGAAGAGTTCAGTGAAGCAATTAAAGAGCTCATTTGACAGTTCTAGAAAATATTTCCTTGAAAGCCTTTTCTTAATCTGATTTAGGAAGCAGCTGTCATATATCAGTATCTCTTTTCTGACCTTTCTTTTAACCAGTGAAAAAGACTGGCCTGTGATCCATAACGTTTCATCAATCCACACAAAGTTAGCTAGCACTAAGGAAAGAAAGCCTCCATTCTCTCTTTGAACCCCCTCTGCCATCACTCAGCCAGATAATTCTTCACATCCTTGGAATTATGCTACAGCTACATTACTAAAACTCCACAGATTTAGATTTCAGGAAGAAACAGTGGGCCTTTCAAGGCAATAGTCCAAAAAGCACTAATGCTATTTATTATTGGGCCCCTGTTTGACCCCCATCTTTTTTATCAGTCCTTCTTGTGTTCAATCATGTCCTGAGGCATACAACCTGGCAACACTTGAAAGACATCTTACCATAGTTAGGCATTCTGCAGGATATCCAGGATCAAACGTGATATTTTAAATTTAGAACGTAGGAGAATTACTTGGCTGTCACTACTGTGCATGTTCCCTAACTGCACGTGCAATGTGTGTTGTATGTACTTTTCCCAGAGGAAAGTTCCTGTACTTGGTCATTTCTTCTCAACAAAATACCATTTAAGTGTTATTATTTAAAAGGGTCAAGCCCAAAATTTTTGTATATACATTTACTTCTTATGCTATTGTTTTGACATGAATTAAGTTTATTTTGTACTGTTAGGTTGTAGGAGGCCACATCAAAGTTCTTTTGCAGTTCTTCCAATTCATACAGCATTAATTAGCAGACACTTGCTTTTATGGGAGTAGATAGCTTTCATTCATATCCTGGACTGCTTCACTAAATTTCATGAGGAATTGGCAAATGTTTAAGAATTTCTTTCTCTCTTAAGAAAGAAATTAAAACTGTAGCTCAACAATTTCAAAAAAGGTGAGACTTCAAAATATTTTATTTGCAGTGCCATGTTAAACATTTTAAAATGAGCCGGAAGGACTCAGATATTAGAAAGCTATCACAGTTCAACAAATGACAATATATAGCCCTACCTGCAGAAATTGTGTGAACTCTGAGCCTCTTGGAGCAGTCAACTAGGACCTTTTTGCTCTAACATACTTCATTTTCTCAGTACTAGGAATAATTGGGTCCACAGATCACATAAGAACCTGATTTTCATAATGTAGAGGCTAACATGATGTTTCAGATGAGACCCTGAACAACTTGGGAGACTTTCTCAGCTACCTTCCTCTGACTCACATCCATGTTCCTGTTGGTGACTGTGGGCTTGCCTAGCTAATCAGTGGAAAGTGATTAATTTGTACAGTGGTCAAATTTAGACCAAATTTAGGTGCATCTAAATTCATCAGAGACTACTAGGGAGAGCTACATGGGCAATAAAAACATTCAATCAGTAAAAGAACATAACAGGGTAATACAGTCACTTTTAAGTACAGCTTTTGACTGGCTTTCCTCCACCATGAAAAAGCAGAATGTGCTCAGACAGATTGCAGTCACTGTGTGACTGAGGAGCAGAGGCAGGCCAAGGACCTGAAGACACCAGAAGAACAGAAATGACACAGAGATGATTGTGCTCAGTGAAAATGTGCTCTCAGAAGGACGTGGAGCTCTCTAGATCTGAGTGGCTGGGAAGAGCAGGGGATGAGTGGAGAGGTTTAAGCCTCAGCCCAGCCATGCAACCCTCGTGTGCAGGAACCATGGCTGCATCAATTCCCATTAGAGCAGGGGCCTCTCCTGCCCTAGCACTGACAGCCAGATTGAGTCACCCGTGGGCTTTGCTTTCCTCCTTTCTTAAGGTGTTTCTTTAGCTGCTGTAATAAACATGAGTTGCCTAATTTCATTACCAGGAAACAGAATAAATTCAGTGAATTAAGAGAATTACTAAGCCTTAAGCTGGCTTTCTGTTGAAGGTGTCCTGTTGTTTCTTGGTCACTGCCAAGAGGCATCAAGCTTGCAGGTGACCTGCATTTGTAATTTACCTTGCACTCTCTGTGAACCTTTCTGCAAGACTTAGCTCTCCTTTGCTATGGGCAATATCAGTTACAAAGGGAGAAACTCCAAACAGTACATTTTGAAAATAAATCCTAATAGGTCTGATGAAGATTTGCCTTACAAATAAAAGCTTTACAGTGAGCATTTACTTGGTTTACACCAGTGTTTTACTTAATTTTTAATGCCTTTTTATAGCAGTGACTAGAATTTAACTTAGATAAGGGTACCTCTGTATAGGAAATATTTTAATATTTTTACCAGTTTTTTTAATTTTCATAGAATATATGTATATTGTAAGGCGAGAAATTCAACTTTAATGTAACAAGGTTATCACACAAGACCTATCTCTCCATTATAAGATTTTGTAGTCAGCCAGTCTAGTTCAATAATATGTTGGCCTTTGATTATAAATGTAAAAATGTGATACAGGAGAATAGAACATTACCTACAGCTAATGCACATTGTAGCACAATATTCTCCATTGCTGCCTTAATCTCATAGAATGAAGTAATGTGTTTTTAATTTATATTCTGAAAAAAACCAAAAAACTCCAGAGTATCCTTTGGCTGCAATTTTGTGTTGTTAGATGACTTAACATTAAACCAAATGTGTTAGTGTCCAGTAGATCTACTTCCAAAGCAAGAGAACACATTGCAGTTTTCAGGAATAAATCTTCATAAGAGCTCAAAACTTGCCACTAGTAAAAATACTCTTCAAAGTGCCCCAGTGACCAA